GACACACGCAGACGACCTGGTTTCTGAGCATAAACCAGCCTGTACAGTACAGACAGATCGAGGCAGAGCAGAACCAGGCTCCCTCAGCTAGGTGTAATTCTGTAGCTATGTACCAGAGGAAGTGACCCCCATCTGAGGTATCAGCTGCTCATCCCGGCAGCCCTCTCTGCCAGGCACCAACCGCTGGTATCGAGGGGGGTGTGGGTTCCCGTCCACGTCCACCAAAAAGGGAGGGGGCATCAGGTGGGGAGCCTGCTGAGTCTGCTCATCAAGAACGTAGTTATTGGCATCTCTGATTAGAGGCCGGTAGTCAGTGTGGAAAAACATCTGGTCAGCAATCTAAACGGGGACATCAAAGGCAACCATAGTAAATACTAATTACCCAACGCTCTGATTGGTTGTATCTATAGCTTTTAAAGATCAACCCGCTGGTGTACCTTATCATATTTGCTGCTGGAGCCGAAGCCAAAGATGAGGAGATGGCCGTGGGAATCGGTGGCTGCAAAGTGCTGACCATCAGGACTACATTTGCAGTCAAACAACGCTCCGTGTCCCTGCCCTTCAATCTGTCCATACAGGAGGGAAGATAGACGAGTAATTAGGACCACAGCCTGGAATCCAATTTAACTATCTGATATGTATGGAAATACCAAAGTAGTCTTTACCTGTCGGAAAAAAAGTTAAACACAGACAACATAAGCAGACAATTTATTTAATGGATCATTATTTGTCTCTGTATGGCACACAAATGACTCATATCCTCACACCAGTTTAGCTTCTGTTATTTCTTCTATTTCTGCTTCAGCATTACAAAATTTCAGCTGACAAGAACCAACAGAATCACACCCTTTACAAACTGAAACATTAACAGAGAAAATCTAAGAAAGCAAAACAGAAAATGTGCTTTTTGCTTTATTTAACCCTACTGAATCACTACTGAGTGAAAAACAGAATGATAACGAACAATTAGTGGTACAGAAAAGTGGTACAAAAAGCCTTTAATACTTCATCCTAAACAGCCCCATAGTGAAACATGGTGCTGAAAGCATTATGCTGTGTGAAACTTTTGTTGAGCAAACAGGCAAACTGCTCAGAGTCAAAAGAAGGATAAAATAAATCTAAATGCCAGTTAGTCCTGGAAGAAAATCTGTTGGAGGCTCACAGGTTAGACTGCAGCCACAGTCAGACTGTAAACATACAGCTTCAGCTACAATGAACTGGTTTACATTTAAGTGCTGAAGTGGTCCAGTCAAAGTGTAGACTTAAGTCCTATTAAACAGCTGTGACATCTTTCATATTAATGTTATAATCTGGTCTGATTGAACCATTAAACTCAAAAACAACAGAACTTTAACTCTGTAAATGTGCAAAGACTAGCAGCTGTAAGTTCAGCAAAAACTCCCTGCGACAGGTGCACACCACACTTTTCAGATTTATTTGCGATTTAAAAAAAAAAGTTTTTTTTTTCACTTACCATAGAACTTTGTGTTCCTCTATTATGTAACCCCTCAATAGAAATACAGTAAAAACCAAAAATCTAAACTTTTTTTCTGATTATTTCTTCTTCTCACTTTTTCAGTTTCAACCACAGAACGTTTATGATGGTACTGAGATCAGAGTATGTGACTAACCGTCTCAGCCATCAACTGTGTTGTTCCTACGTCAGTTTGGAAATAAATTAGTAATGTGTTTTAGGTCATGGTCCACCTTGAACACACATTTGTGACCAAGTTTAAACTTCCTGGCTGAAGTGTTGAGATGAGGCATCATTATTTCCATTGTACCCTTTACCCATGATGCCATCTATTCTCTGAACCACACCGCTCTCTGCTGCAGTTTAACAGTCCTCACTTTCTGCACGCTTCAAAAACTTCACATACTTACAGTTTAGTCTGTCCGGTTATCCAATTTTTAAACACAGAACTAGGTGTTATAACTGAATAGCTCCTCAGTATTGGTACTTAAAAGGCTACATTACAAAATCCTTAAAATATCTCTAAAACATGACAGTGAACATATTTGCCAAAATTCAAACTTTACCTCACTAACGTGCTTTATTAAGTCCTTGGCTGTTGTGTAACCCGATGAACTAGTATCTCAGGTATCTGAGTCTACCAGTTGTAATTGCATTCAATGAAGAACAAACAAGTGCTGCAGGAGCTTTTTATCAGGTATTTGACGAAGCATTATATAGGCGTTAAAAAATTAAGATCTATTCAAAATATTTAGGACTTCAACACAACAACTGAGATAATTTACATTTTCTCAAGGCCTTAAATTAAAATTTTTCTAAAAAAAAAAAAAAAACAATGCTGCTACCTGTTACACATCCCAGTTAGAATGGGAAAACTTTGGAAATTAACCTTTTAGGCCAATAAATCCAATAAAATCATCATCTGCTCTTAGCGAAAACATAAAATTATCTGTATGCAAATTAATACTAAATATTTTTTATGAAACCAAGTGAGCTAGGACAAGGAAGTTTACCATGATATAATGCCTGATAGTGAGAATATAATTTTTTTTTTAATATATCTGCAAATTTTGGTCACAACTCTACATCGGTTTCAGGCTGTAACATAATATTTGAAAATATTCAAAGACTAATCATGAACCTGCTGCTGGTGTTCTTGCAGGCCTACCAGCAGCTATTTCATCAAACTTACACAGCTCTACTAACACACACTCATTCTGCAGTTTCACACCATGACTGTCGGCAGGATTTTGGCCAACTGACCAGCTCACTCAGTGACTCATGTTCTGAAACGGAGATTTAAACTGTCCTTGGTTACCATAGAGACAATGAGCAAAACTACAACTGTGATAAATATACTGGATGAGTATAAATAGTGGCCCATTCACTTCAAATAGTGGATTTTAAAGCTACCACACTAAATCCATTAGCTGACACAGAAAATCAGGAGTAGATATGGGGAGTGAGGATAAAAAGAGAAAATCTAAAGAGTCATAGTGGGTGAGGGTGGAAGAGAGTAAAACAACTGCAAAGAGATGAGAAAATAAATGAGGCAGAAGGAAAATGGCGAGAGGTTTTATATAAGCATGACATTAAAGAAAATGACAGAAAGATTATTCAACTTCATGCAAGAAAAAAAAATGAGAAAAAGAATCACTTACCATGTTGAAGTAAGAGCGGATCTTGACTCCTCTTGCTAGGTCCCAAACTATACAGTTTCCATCGTGCCCGGCCGAGAACAGGATTCTTGGATCAAAGGGATGAGGCTCCAGGACAAACACCTCATCTTCATGACCCTGAAAAAAACAACAAACACCAAACACAATTATAGGGGGACCTGATATTCAGGGCTTTAGCTTGTTGCAACTAAAAAACTGTTCAACTGAAGAGGCACCAACGTACAGAAAGCATCTTTATATTCATACTGACTATTATGTAGGGGTGTAAATCACATCCATCATGGCGATTCGATTCAGTATCGATTTATTGACCCAACGATTTGATTATTTTCGATACTCAAGAATACACCACGATACTGTTAGATTTTTTTTTTTTTTTTTTTTTTTTTTTTTTTTTTTTTTTTTTT